GAGAGAGAGAGAGAGAGCAGCCGGGGAACTGGGGAGAAACCGAAGATCTTGGCTATCTGCAAACCAGAATCCTTCCCCCCAATCCTCGAGCTAATTACAAATATTAGGTCGTACATTTCTAGCTTTATGATGGCTCGCCATGCACGCTACCTTCATCACCACGACTGTGCGTCTAATACCATGACTAAACTCTGACTATGTCTAAGACTATCAATATGACTGTGCGTCTTAGCCGCAGACCAACGCAGCCACGACCCCATTGCTCATCACTGCTGGGTATCAAGTTATCAACCCCTACGTCATCTGCGGTTTCAGTTCAAAAACTGACTAGGTAGATGAAAGTAGACGAACACTATTAACCATTCCGAGACTAAACGATATAGCAAGTAGGCGAAATAGCACTATTAAGCATTCTGAGATTAGACGAAATAGTAAGTAGACGAAATAGCACTATTAAGCATTCTGAGATTTCACGAAATAGTAAGTAGACGAAATAGTTTCGTGTAATCTCAGAATGCTTAATTGTGCTATTTCGTTTACTTACTATTTCGTGAAATCTCAGAATGCTTAATAGTGTAGTAAGTAGACCAAATAGCAAGTAGACGAAATAGCACTATTAAGCATACTGAGATTAGGCGAAATTTTAAGTAGACGAAATGGGAGTAGGCGAATGGAAAGTAGACGAAATGCCAGGATGTTACCGTCATCCGCTTCCCCATAGCTGTTCCCTATAGCGTCTATTACCCACGGACCACGGTTCATCATCCGGTATCACCCCCCCCCCCCACACACACACACACAGCGCCGTCTATTACCCGTGCACATTGAACAGTCCTGATATGATGGCTCGCGTGGAGTGGCGTAGGTTAATGTATGCGCATTTCCAGCGAGCATACTCTGCGTGCGTGCGTATGCGTGTGTGCGTGCGTGTGTGTTTGTGATGTATGTAAGTGTGTCAATTTATTATTCCGGTACAACTCATTAGGATCGCCGCTTTTTAAATGTCACCACGGAACGCTGTGAGTGGCTGATGCCAAGTAGGCTTGAAGACGGGGATATCGAGAGAGAGAGAGAGAGAGAGAGAGAGAGAGGAGGAGGAGAGAGGAGAGA